TTAACACACCTGAAAAACATATATTCTTGCTGATCGGACCAGTGAGACACAGTAGGGGAAACATAAAACACCTACACCTAAACTAACTACAAAAAAACCCCACAAAAATCTCAAGTTTGTCCACTCAAGCAAAAGAATGAAAACAAACAAACCCAAAATCTATCTACATACCCAACATAGCACAAAATAATCATGTAATATTTACATTTAATAAAGTCTGTCCTCCCCTTGAAGTGGCAGCACTTGGTATGGTCCAATTGGCAGCTCTGGTATAAAGGCCTGCTGCTCCTCTGCTGCCATCTTTTGTGCAAAACCAGCCAGATGAGCACAGCAGCAGAACACTGGATATACCAGCAGTAGTACGACAAAGAAAAGATTAACACACGTTGAAATAAACAATGCTGAACATACAATAGTTAACTAAATAGATCTAACATACTTCAACAAAGGCTAAATATACCATGAGTGTGATGTGTTTTTTTATGTTGGATGGTTTTTATGATTGTGATGTGGGATTGATTGTGTTGTTTATTATATATATTGTATTTTTTAAAATTTTAATACCACTGATGGGCACTTGCAATTGCGTTGTATTATGAATACAATGACAATAAAGGCATCTTAGCTTATGTACAATATGAATGTAAGGTGTTTCAAATTAAACTAAAGTGGTTACTGTGGGGGCTGCAAGGTGGATCGGTGTTTAGCACCATCGCCTCGCAGCTTGAAGGTCGCCGGTTTGCATCCCGGTGAGGACACCCGGGATGTTTCTGCGTGGATGTTCTCCCCGTGCAGCGTGGGTTCTCTCCGGGTTCTCCGGCTTCCTCCCACACAGTCCAGAAACATGTTGAGGTTAATTGGTGATTAAATTGTCTGTAGGTGTGAATGTGAGCATGCTTGGTTGTCTGTCTCTGGATAGATAATGGGTGGATGGTTGGTTACTGTGGTTACCGACTTTGATGGTTGGGATGGCTGCAAGCGGGGCCATCACAGGGGGTTAATAAATGCTGGCATGATGTGGTGATTTAATTTGCTCTAACTTGAGCAAATCTGGCCTGCTTATAAAGCCACCACAGCAAAAATAAATTATTACTAATTTTTTTGCCTCCAAAGGGGCAGCTTAGCCAATGAGGGCAAATGTACTGTTGCTACGGCAACTTTAGCCTGACTGTGTGCACATCTTTGACGTGTACGGTGGTGTTTCCTACCATGTCCTTATTTTACTGAACCCTTCATGTAAACACATTTACAATTAACTTGTTAAACTCACTGCAACGTTTCCACAATATTACTTAATACAGGAATTTACTGAGCTGATTGCTTTGAAAACTGCATCTTCTGTACTTCACATCTGATTTCGTTTTATTTCTGTGATATTTCCTCCTTTGCTTTTACTGATGGGTCTGACTGAGACTGTGGATCATCACTACTCGTTGTCTGACAGAACAACAGCAGGAAAGAAGACACCGTGTGATGCTGTAAACGGTATTAAATGGCCGTGTGTGCAGCACAAACACCTGTCAGCAGGCAGGATTGAGGAGTTTAATATCAACCAACCGCTGCTGTTTCTTCACATGGAGGACAGACGGATTCAATCAAAGCTCCAGAGCTGACAGTTAATGGATCCTCAGTGTTCTGGAAAGTATTAGGTGTATGGTATTTTCTTTTCATGTTACATTTGAAATAATGCAGTTAGAGTTCACTCATATATCTGGACAGCAGGGGGTTGTAGGTTCACACTAGTATTTTTTCTTAAATCATGTTTTTTTTCTTGATAGTTTATCCTTTAAATAATTAATCTTAAATGGACAAATCTTATGATGCACAAAGACAACTAACCTGAATTCTGAATATTGAATAAAAGCTAATAAAAGTCAAACCCTAATTGTAATTCAGTCGTGTGAATATTCTTAGATTTGGGTTCTTAGTATCCTTGTGTTCTGTTTTTCTTATTCACATTGTGTATATATAGTGTATATACCTCTCCTCTTTGATTCATAGTTGTGTTTTCTTTCTCACTTTGCTGCTGTGACGTTGGACATTTCTTTTCTAATGTACATCCACACATTCTTGAGTGAATAGTTTGCATATTCCTGCACACTGTGAATACTTCTACACAGTTTTATAAATTACTTAGATTTCCTACATTTGCTGTTTATTTGACCTAAACTTCTTATTTCACCTGCAACACTTGGATTTCTTTTAAAATCTTTTTATGCTTTTAAAACCTGTCGGCGTTTCATGCAATGCAACGAATCAACCGGCCGAATTCCTCGTACGAGAAAACCCACCTGACATTAAAACAGATTCTGATCTGTTTGTTTAAGCTGGTATGAGACAGAACCAGTGATTTTAATATGACAAAATATATCTAAATGGATTTCTTTGCTTTGCTGTCTGTTACAAATTGTTAAACATCCCATTTCACCATTTTAAGAGTTAAAGTATGTGCAGCATTAACATCAGGCCTGCAGCAGTTTACCGTCTCAGCAGCAGAGGGCCTCCTCACTTCCAAGGAGCAGAAGAATTACCATTCGAGTCCATGCGGTGCTGAGGATCACTCTGAGGTCACACCGACCCCATCTGTTCGCTGTGTGGTGATGAAAAATTCAAGCCGCTGTTATAAAGGAAAGGTAATCATATTTTGAGATCCTTTTGTGTATTTTGTTGTCACCCTGATAGTCCATATTGTACGTTTCCTGTGTTGTTCTGCACCCTTCTTGATGTTTCCTCAATATTCTTTCCAAGTTAAAGCGAGTTTTTCTTGATCCAGACTGTAATTCTAAGAACACAGGTTGTTATGCTGGAAAATCTTTAGTGATTTGTGATGTTTTAGGATGTAAAACTGGCTCGATTTGGATGTTTTATTTAGCTTATATATGTAGTGCTGCAACTTTAACACCCACATGATGTTTTCGTTTGGTTCTGGTTCTGTCTCTCCACAGGAGGGCGCTGAGGCTGTGCACACGTGGAGCTTATTCACTTCACAGAGACCCACGAGTTTAAGGTCACAGCATGAGATAATCTCTGTTATAATATCTCCAAAGCAGTTACGTCAGGATTTATGGCTTTTAGCTCAACTGTGATAATCAGCCCAGTTTGAGTTTTATTCTCACGGCAGCAAGTTTTAACAAACTAAAATAAAAAAAAGAAAGAAAAATTAAAATACATTACAAGCTACAAGTCCTGCATGAAAATTCCTACTTAAGTAAAAGTGCACAGCAGCAAAGTGGAGTTAAAGTATTGCAGTATTGTTCTGGTTTGGTCCCTCTGACTGATTTATTATTATATTAGTGACAGTGAAGCATCAGCAGCAGGTTAGTATTGGAGCTGCTGCAGGTTTAAACTACTTTAAATACAGTTTTATGTTCAGGAACAGGAGATAAATCTGAGGACTCCAAACACGATTAATGGGAGAGGAAGAAACAAACATCCCACTTGTGGATCCGTAACTGCACAAGCCATAAAATAAAAATAAAAAAGAGCCAAAAAAATTTAAAAATCATACATTTATGAAGGAAAATATATATATAACTATCCAGCTATTCATTTTAAAATCTAAAATCAGATAAAAACAGCATCAAAACTATTACAAAACTGCACTGAGTTGGATAATAAACCCAAAAATATCAGGACCAGCTTACAGCACCATCGTAACGGGCATTTAATACGCTAAAGCAGGCCTAGTTTAAAGAATATACTTGAGCAAATACTAGTGACAATTAGAAATATATATCAAATAAAAATTAAACCTTCATTTCACACATTTTAATTTTAGTTAAATCCACCAGGTTCATGTTGACGGTTGTTGATGGGATGTCAAAATTAAAACACACGATGCACAAATCTGTTCTCAGTTTTCCTCTAATTTCTGATTTTTGGAGCAATATTGGACCATTTTAATTTGAATTTATTGAAATGTGATTTATTTATTTTTATTAAGACGTCTGACATGTGAGCACACAGTAATTTCTGGAAAAACCTGTTGTGTTTTAAAAGCTTGTTAGATTTAGTCTGTAAAATCTGCATCTTTAAAGCTGCCAGACGAATGCAGCGAAGTAGAAAGTACAATATTTATCTCTGAAGCGCAGTCGAGTGGAAGGAGAACGTCGCAATAAAAAATAAAGTGGCTCAAAATTGTACTTGACTGATGACAGGACACCAGAAAAACGTTGATGCGCTTTAACAAAGTCAACTGTTGTCTTCACTGGAGTGAATCAAATCTGTTGAGGTTAATTCAGCCGAGTTCACGGCGAGGATGGAAACTGTTGTTCCGGGCGCAGCTCCAGTATTTTCCTTAAGTGTCCACTTGAATGTTCGTCTCACTGAAAAGGTCACGGCACATGATTTCTCAGTCATTTCCTGCTCATCCGAGTGTTCGGCGGCCGCTTGTTCCTCGTTGTCACTTTGTGTAAAAAAAAAAAAAAAAAAAAGAGTCATCAACGGCGCATTAAGGCGACTTCTCCGGCTCTCCATGTGGCTGATTGAAAGTCAACCACGCCAGGAAAATACAGCACAGAGTCTAACGGGGATCTTTACAAATAAAGAACAGCAGTCATATTTGTGATCACAGTTTTTTCTTTTTATTGTTAAAATGAGCCGGTTTTGGGGCGGTACACATCATCTAAGGTTAAAGGTCACCTACAGAAGTGGGAACAACACAGCAAACGGTGGAGGAGACTCGCTCAGTAATCACACATTCTCAGGAAATGAACAGCAAACACAAGCATTCGGTATCAACACCAACGGAGCTACAACTACACTGCTGTCTCTGAAGAAACTAAAAATGCATTTCACACGTCTTCCACAAAAAAAAAAGAGTTTAACTACGCCAAAGTTCCACAAGAAATAGGTCCTTATTTGCAGCTTTAAGGGATTAATTTAGGCCTTTTGCTCATTCGTTTGGGTTCAGTGGGGAACTTGCCTGCAGTTTTCCCCTCAAATCGACAGTAAACGAGTTCAATTGTGCGGTAAAAGCGTGGATTGTTTAAAACTGGGCGTCAATAACAGATCTGGAAGTACTGGCTGGGCGACTTGATGGGGCTTTTGTAGCTGGACGTGTCCTGCGGTGCGCTCTGCTGCTGGCTGCTCGTGGTTTTCTGGAGGTCCAGGGTGAACGACGGAGGGCTTTTCCTCGTCTCCGGCCTGCCGCCGCCCTTCGGCTGAGGGTGGTTCGGCGCCGGCACGGGCCCCGAGTTGGCCGGCACTGCGGACGTGGACTTGGCGGCCTCAGAAGACCCAGTCTTTCTTGCGAGGGGGCTCAGATAGATCTGCATAGTCACTAAGTGAAGTGGTGAAATGAGGTGAGGAGGTTTGGGTGTTTAAAGAAGAGACGGTGGTGGGAGGGGGTTGAGGGAAGGCACACAAGTCACGGTGAGATGTGATAAATGAAGGACGAGCACAAAACAGGAGCTCAAACACAAGTCTTTCCACTTTTAATAGACGTGAAGTATTAAACGTGCTCTCAGGGACGAAGCCTACCTTTGCAGTGCGTCACACGTCTCGACCCTGCGCCAGATCGACAAACACAAGCGGGTATTAGTTTACATGCGGAGGCGTAATGCCAGGATTGTGCTTAAAATTTGCTCAGCAGCAGTTTCCCCGTTGCTGTTATAAATGGCCTAAAAAAAAAAAAAGCAGCAGCAGCAGGGAAGCAGACAAAGTGCTCTCTTACCTACACTTACTGCAGCATCCTTGGACTTGCCGCTGCTGTTATATTGAGAAAACGATGCAGCAGGGGGCAGAGGAGGAGAAACAGAGTGAGAGATGCAGCGACAGGAATACAGAGTCAAAATGTGAGAAAAGATTTCAGCAGAGGGAAGCGGAGGTCGACTGATGAGCGGGATGACTAAGGATGCAGCTAAGGATTAAGGATCCTCTGGAATAACTGCTGTTTGGTCAGAAAATCTAATATTTTCCCAAAGCCAGTGATGATAAATGTTTTGTTCTGAAACCAAATGTATTCAGTTCACCGTCACAGAGGAGGAAAGAAACCTGGAAATATTTTAGAAGCTGGAATCAAAGAATATCGACTGTTTTAAATAATAAAAAAAACCATCAAAATGACTAATCAATACTTAAAATACCTGGCAGTTCATTCAACAGTTCACAGCTAATCGATTAATCGTCGCAGCTCCCGTCGATACGTTGGACCTCGTGTCATGTGGTGCAGCATTTATCAACAGGTAGCAGCATCTTCTGCTCCCGCTGTGATAAACATCCGACTTTAATGCTGTTTACAGATTTATTTTAGTCCATATATCATAATTCCTCTCATCACACCAAATCACCTGTATAGCAGCTAGTTTTAAATTCTAGCATGTTGCTTTTTTGTGCTGTTTTGCAGGTTAGAGATCCAGTGTTACCGGTATAACTTATTTTTTAATGACACTAATAAAATGATGCCTTTAAAAAAAAATCACGATTAACAGCTTAGAGACTGAAAGATTAATGCTAAAGAATTCTCTTTTGATTAAACCGGAATAAATGAAGCCATTTTTTTTTCAAGACGTTCTTTCTCAAATTTGACAGCAACATTTTTTTTTACTGTTGCTCGTTATCGGTCTCCCTGATTACTATTGATCAGCCCCATCAGTCGACCCCTCCTACAGACGTGAACACACACGACAGTCTAGCAGCTGGTAATCAACAGATTATTTATCACTGATTATTTACCAACTGATTAGTCTCTCACCAGAACAAAAGGGTGTCACAATGACACGTCAGTTTTAGGCGAACTAAAAAGATAAAGACGAGCTGCTCGTCTGTGGTTTCAGGTGTTGACACGTAAAACTAAAGGTACGGATTTTGGAAACAACTTTGATTTTGTGTCTGTGTGTCTCTGGATGCTCTGGCTTCCTCCCACAAGCAGAACTAATTGGTGACTCTAAAAGCGAGGACATGTGTGTACATCGATTTCAACATGCAATCAGCTAAAAACAAAGGCTGCAGTTTAGAATATACGAGGATGTGGCTATCACATAAAGAGAGTAAAGGGTAAAGGGGTTATTTATGCTGCTTATTGACGGAGGTTCAGGCTGCAGGCTGTGGTTTAACTGACATAAGTCGAGTCTCATTATCTAACAGCCGCAGAGTTTCTTGCTGTTCTCCTCGTGGGACGCTTTTGATGCTGAT